AGGCACCTTCACCTATCTCTTCAGAAAGCACCCCCTCTGCCTCCCCCATTGCAAAGAAGACCAAAATTTTGACACCTGCAGCAAAGGAGAAGCTGGAGGACTCTGTCACCTCTGCCCCAGCCAACAGAAATGCTTGGCACGACAAGAGGATCATCTTTGAGTCAAGTGACTCAGAAGAAGAAGAAGTGGTGCAGAATGCCACTACTCAGGGGGAACCACATTCTTCTCCTCCTGCCTCTGCAAACGATCAACCTATGGTGGTTTATTCACCAGAACACCAAGAAGTAAGCAGCACTTCAAGCCCTGATAGGAAATTCATCAGGGTTCTGGCATGGAGAAAGTGGAGAGTGGGACCTCTCACTGAGCTCCTCAAGAACTTGTCCCACTTCATCTCTGAAGAAGAAGTACTCAGATGGGCTGACACAGAAGATGTGGAGTCATGCCTAAACAATGATTTTCTTCTTTCTGTCCTACAGAAGAAGAAGGAAAAACTTCAAGGAAAAGCACCTCTGGTCAGAAACTCACCAGAAGACCATGTGAAGGCTCTTCAAGAGCATGAGGTGAATGACTTTGATGCTTGGTTAGTTGAGAAGAAGAGGAAGGAGTCAATGATCAAATTTCGCCACAGTGCACATGGAGAAGGCGAACCCTCTACTGCAAATGATCTACCTCTGGTCATGGAAAGACTTGTCAAAGAATGGAGAGACTCTCTGTTCACAGAAACAATGCTAGAGGTAATTCCCCCAATCATTCCTTCTCCCCCTCCCTCTCCTAAAAGCACCTCTCCCCAACCCCACCAGAAATCCCCCTCACCCCCACAGAAAACCATCTCTGCACAGAAAACCCCTTCACACCAGAAACCCTCCACCCCCAAATCTTCATCTCCTTCACCCTGCAAACCGTTCTCTCCTACAAAGAACAAATCACCATCCCCTCAAGGACAAATTATCCAATACCAACACCAACAGATCATCTCTTCTACAACTTCACCCCAACAGAAAACCTCCTCACCCAAAACCAAAAACCCTTCTCCCTGCAAATTCCAACCCTCCATCAGATCCAGATCACCATCACCTCCACCCTCTCCTCCACAACAACAGAATGCTCCCTCACATCAACAAGACAATCCCTCCAACAAGAAATCCAGAACTGCTTCTCCAAAGCCTGCACCACAAGATGCAGCCATTCCTCTTTCCCCTCAACACTCTGTGGCTTCTACCCCCATCAAGAAACCTATCTTCAGGGTGCCCTCTTCTTCCAGTGACAATGATGGATTTCTTACATCCTCCATTGCTGCTGATGAAACTTCCAAAAGGAGGAAGACCCCTCCCCAGAATGAAGAACAACCCAGAAGGCCTCCTATGCCTAAGTCAAGAGGTCTAGGTATGCCTGGGAACACAGAATCCAAAGAAGCTAAGCCCCAAATCTCCTTCAATCAGTTTGTCACTGCAGCTGAGGACTTTGGTGGTAAAATGCTTGATGGAATGGATCAATTGGCTGAGATCAACACTAAGCACCATGAACATATCACTTTTGTTCATAATCATCTTGAGGCTGGACTTCAGCACATCTCAGAGAAGGTTGAAGCTCTGACTCAAACACTGGTCACCTTCATGGAATCATCATCTGCAAAGCTTAATGCTGTTGCCAGAGAAGTTGATGGTGTCCACTCTGTTCTCTACTCGCAATCTCAGATTCTCAATAAGCAGAATAAACAACTCAAGGATATAACAGAATCCCTTGACATTGTACAATGGTATGAAGACCAATCTGCTGAGAAGTTTATGCAACTACAACTCTTGAATAATGATCACAAAGATCAGGTGGCCACCCTGATCAAGAAGGATCAAGAAAGGTATCAGAAGCTGATACTACTTGAAGCTGGCTCTCAGGACATCAAGTCTGCTCTTGATCGTCAACAGAACTTGATAGAAGGCTTGACCTCTGTCACGCAGACCTTACCAGAAACCCTTGAGCAGATAGCCATCTCCCAGGCAACAGAGTTCCAGAAGATTGCCATGATGATCTCTGACCTGGATGATGCCAAAAAGGGGGAAAAGGAAAAGGACCCCCAACAGAAGAAATTGCCTCCTAGGCCAACTGCTGGACCCTCATCTGATATTGATCCAACCCCTTACTTCCAGGCCTCCCAACAGAAGAAGAGAGAAGCTGGTACTTCAAGACCTTCTTCTCCTCGCAGAGGTTCTACCAAGAAGAAGAAACCCTTGAGCTTAACTGAGTGGAGACTTGGAGGCTCCCAAAAGATTGATAGAGCACAGTTTGAAGAAATTCAACAGAAGATGACCCCTACTCAAAGACAGAATCTCTATCTTGACAGAGACGGTCATATAAGGGTCAGACATGGTGGTTCCTTGGAAGAGGCTGAATATTGGTTTCACAAGAGAGTACTCCCAGGCAAGGATGTACATGAGGGAGTACTTCATTATCTAAACTGCAAGCTCTCTCCCATTTGGGCCTCCTGTCAAGCACCAGGAAATCTGGCTGGCATAAGAGAAGAAGTGAATGCTGAACTAAAGAATCTGAAAGAACAAGATCGCAGAACCAGAGTTGAAGCTGAAAGGGAAAATCTGTAATTCCTTTTAAACTTCTCTTAAAACTCTTGATCTAATAAAAACTTATCTCTGCTCCTTCTAAAGTCTCTTTGCTTCTTTACTTTTTGTTGCTTACTGTCTTATTCTGTACTTGTTTCTTTTTGAACTGCTATCTGAATGTACCGCACTCTTACTATTTTCCTATGCCAAGTTGCCCACCAAGTTGTTAATGAAAAGTTTTAAACTTTAAATTTTTTTTGGTGAAGGCACTTCTCTGGAAATAGTTAAAGGGTTTTGGCATCATCAAAAAGGGGGAAATTGTAAGGAATAATTGTATTTAGATTTTGATGATGCTATATTTATTAGGACTTTAGAGTACCCCTTTTAGAAACTATGTATTAGAATTTTCCCTTGTAAAGTTCTTAGCATAATCGACTACCAGAAGGCCTCTCTACCAGAAGACCTCCGGACAGAAGATTTTGGTTCTCTGTCTAGGAACAGAAAACCTCAGGGTCTCTGTTACCCTTTAGCTTGACAGAAACCCTCTTGGTTCTCTGTAAGCTACTATCAACAGAAGTGCTCAAGATCTTCTCTGATCAGTTCTTTGCCAAAGACACCAGAAGGTCTGACACTTGGAAGAAATCCACAAAGCCGGGAAGTCAACTAAAAGATTCCTTCAACGGCTAGGAGTATGAAACGGAAAAGCTACAGTGCTCGCATTAAATGCTCATTTAATGCTCCCCATGCTCCGTGGAGTAATTGCAGATGATTGGCCGCAATGTCAGATTACTTTATCCCAAAATAGTAACCCGCCAACTTTACCGGGTCCTACTGGTCAAGTCAACTGCTCGCGCATTAAATGCAGTTGTCCTCCTACTCCTCCAACGGGAAGACAACCTCAGTATAAAAGATACACTACGAAGAACAACCGGATAACTTTGCCAAGATAACTTTGCAACCTTTGCTAACCATTGCTACAAACAAGATATTCAAACTCTGAAAAGCAAAAAAAGCCTCCTTGAGATTCAAACTCAATATCTTCTACAAGAGAAGGCAGAAGTTGGAAAAATACTTTTTCCAACTCAAGCAAAGTTCCAAGTGTTCTTCAACTCTTCAAGCTCATCACATACAAATCTTTTGTAATGAAGCTAGTTAGAGGAACTCCTGTTTCAACAGAAACTCTTCTTGCTACAAGAAGGACGTCCAAGTAACTGGAGTAGTGAAGTGGTGATACTTCAAGGAAACTCAGTGAAAGGGCCAGTGTTAAAGGAAGCCAGGCAGTGCATCCCAGGATACATCTAGGCTTGAAGAAGACGTGGAGTGCTTCTTAAGTGCTAGGACTAAGGCTTTGTAAACGGCAGTTTTTACAGCTTAGTGGAACAGTGGATTAGAGGAACGAGTTGTTCCTTGAACCACTATAAAAATCCCTGGTGTCGTTTACTTACTGCTTTTAATACTTGCACTTAGCTAGAACTGTCTAACTCCTTGGACTTGGTATCTGTGTTCAGCAGAACTTGTTCTACGAGTTAACAGAAGGCCTACTGCCTTTGCTTCTCTGAGGCTAACAGAATTCCCTACCAGAACCCCATCTGCTGCCAGTCTGTTCCTTCAACAGAACATGCTATTCTGTAAATCTGGTACTTAGTTTAAAAAGCAAAAAACCAATACAGTCTATTCACCCCCCCTCTAGACTGTATCCAGTATAATCGGGACCAACAAAACATATGAGGAGGGAAGGAGGGAAGATGAGGGGTAATGAATCGGTTACCTAATATTTACTCTCAAATGGCGAAGAGAGACTTCAGAAACGATTGAGATAAAACTGGAAAAGAGAGACGACAAAGGTGGAAGAAGAACCGAGCATCGAATGTGAAGGTTGATCTCGAGTGTCGACGAAGAGAGGCAACATAGGTTGGGGAAGAATCATGCATGAATGGTAAAGGTGGATCACAGTGGTTGACAAAGAGGGGCGACAAAGGTGGAGGGAGAATCGGGCATTACAGGTGAAGGCCGATCTCGAGGATCAACAAAGAGAGGCGACAGAGGTGGAGGGAGAATCATACATCGATGGTGAAGGTGGATCTCAAGGGCCGGCAAAGTGTAGTCGACTGTAAATCCATTTCCCCGAGCGCTAATGTGAAGTAAATGTAGGGAAATATGATTTTTAATTATTATTAGCCACCCCATTTGTCTTGGAATATAATCACTTTTTTCTTTTATGAAATGCCTCAAAATATTTGTGTGATTTCCTTTTTTTCACTAACGTGTGACTCATATCAATTCACATTTTATACTCATATGTCAATCATAATTTTATATTTTCAACCATTTTATTAAAACTCGTATCAACTCAAACAAAAAAAAGTAATTTGAGACGGAAGGAATATATTCAAATTTGAATGTAATTAAAAGCATGTTTTATTAAACTAGTACTCTGAGATTGAATACTTCAAAATTCAATTTTATAGTCAACAGCTCTAATTATTAAGTCTATTTACTTTAATTTATATATTAAATTAAATATTAATCCCCGCTTTAGTACGCAATGGATCCAACCGTCCAAACTGAACTTTCTAGATTTGGATTCAAAGTCTTTCTGTAAAAAATCAATAGTTACTGCATCCTAGGGTATTAGCTCTTCCCTTCCTGCTGAAATCGCGCGAGTTCCTCTGAGTCTCAGGTATTCAATTTCGTTTTCCATCGCTCTTCAAGTTCTGACATTATCAAATCTTGTTCTCATAACAAAAAGAGTAAATCCTTTTCAAGGTGCTTAACAGATTTATGTTTTTCATCATCACGAAACGCATTTCTTTATTCTTAAAAAGATCCAAAAGAAACGCCACTCTACTTCTCTTCAATGAGCTATGAACTTAGGATTTGATTTTTGATAGGTAAAAAATGTCTAAGGCACAGTTGCAAGAGCTGTGCCAAAGGTTATTGTTGCCGCTGCCTCAATATACCATCGTTAGGGAGGGCCCCGATCACGAAGCTAAGTTCAATGCAACCGTCATTGTCAATGGACTGCCGTTCCACTCCATACCAAATAAGTGTCGCACAAGCAAGGAAGCTCAGAACCTTGCTGCCCGGTTTGCTTTTGAGTTCTTCTCTGCTAATCCGCCCGAGACTCCTCCTCCCCATCTTTTGCCCCCACCTACAAATCCTGCTTTGACTCAAGTTGAGCCTCCACCTTCAAATCCTGCTTTGACTCAAGTTGAGCCTCTACCTTCAAATCCTGCTTTGACTCAAGTTGAGGTTCACCCCACTGAAGATCCATCTGATCCTCAGCCAGCACTTAGTGAGTTGTTATTGTTATTATGCTCCATTACTATTTATTTTACTTCCTCCTCCCCAGGTTTGCCAAGTTTGATTGACACCAGAAAGTGAAGTATTGAAAGTTGAGTGGTTGAATTTGTCCAAAACATAAAACAAAAAACATATTCTATTTGCACAACTTTGGTAGATACCCTAATGTCCCAAGTTACTTATCATTTTCTGATTTGAGCTCTTCATCAGTTTATTTTCTTACTTTATCCCTTTTAGCTATGATTTCACTATTTTATTATTTGGGTTTCTTTACTAGTTTTACTGCTCTTAGAAGGTTACATCAACCAATCTCATCATTTTTTCGTAAAACTCGTATCAAACCCAGATTCCGTATCACATTTGGGATGCATAGTATAAACCACAAATTTCTTTGGTTAGAGTGAAGGTGATAAATTGGGACAATAGATGAGGAATTTGCACATGGGATACAGGCAGATAGGGTGGGTATTCACAAACATCTGGTGCTGGTCTTCTTACTGACTTTTTGTTTTGAATGCACTGAGTGAACTTGGATGAGATATATTTAGTTTGTTCTATCTTGGAGGCACAATTACAGCCAGTGAGGGGCATGAGTGGAAATTTGTCTGCCACTAAAGAATCCCATTCACTGAATTGAATCAACTGTTCTGAACAATCAGCGCCCACTAGACTAGATCAATCTAAAAGTGTTTCCATTTTCAACCACAGAATATATGGTACTACACTACTACATAAGTAATAGATGAGTTTAGGAGCATCAAATTTTTAAATAATATACATGAAGGAAGTCAGGAATGATGTGACACTTCTTGGGTTGGACGAGAGTATAACTTTGGAGGGAGCTAAGTGGAGGGAGAGTATATGTGTGGAGGATTGTTCTCTTTTTATCTTCTTTAACTCCTATTTCATATGCCGATTCATGTTAGCCGACTCCAAACTCTTTTGGGATTAAGGTTTGGATGTTGTTTATACCTGAATAATTTATTATAGTTGTTCCTAACAATTGCCGGCATATACCACCCACCAAAATTGCCTCGCATTGAACTAATTGTACGTAAAATTAATTCCATTTCTAATCACACAATATACAGTAATAATGAGAATGGATTCTCTAAATAATATATGCACATCTACTATTACTAATCAATAAAGTACCCAATGAATATTTTTTTTGTGGTATTGCCTTTCAGCATGTAAAAAGAACTTCAGTCTTACAATTGGTGAAACCTGTACATCATTCTTGAGCATTTACTATTTTTGGTCAAAACCAGATCCACAAAAAAATCAACTTTTTTAAGACCATATTACCTTTTAAAATTTAATACCTAACAGTTCAGGTTAACATGTTAGCCAGGCTGACTAATGATTTCTACTTATATTTGGGTCTTTGTTTTGTATACATATCTTTAAGTCACAACTAAATGTTGAAGCGTAATATGTGCACTTTATATGCCTAAAAGATCATTGTATACATGTGTCTGTTCTTTTGAAAAATTTGCATGCATATTTTGTTCGTATGTAGTATGTACCACTTACTGAACCATTTATTAATATAGATTTTTGAGGTTTGGTGATTGTTATTGATATTTACGTTCTTTCTAAATTATGCTTTGTATGATTATACTTACTTACTATTCATCAACTGAAAACAGTTGTGAAACATGCAGATATCACGCCTAGTTCTTTATAGGTTATTCTGTTTTACTTTTTAGGTTTTTATGGTACTTTTTAGTTAATATTTTATTTTTCACATTGTTTAATTAATTTCTTCCATTTCAGCTTTGCCTATTGACCCCCAGCCGGTTAGCTCACCCCAGAGTCACGATCCTTCAGGTAATTTCATTTTTACTTTAAGTTTATTCAATTTTTATACCATGAACAAAACTATAAGTATTATTTTATTGATTAAAGATGAGAATGACAATATGTTAGGTGAAACTGTTTCTCCACTTCCTGTTCTAGTAGCTGGCGCTCAATCTGTTCCTTCATTGCCAATGGAAATCTCCACAGGTTTTTTTTTAATTTCATTTTTATTCAATACACAAACTGGAAACTAACTTTACACACACTACTAAATTTTGATTTAAAAAGAGAGTAAATTTAAGTATGATAAACGATTTCTTTTGTTTCAGCTTGCACGATCACTCAACCTCAATTATCCTTGGCGAACTTTAGCAAACCTAGAACTTATGTGTTGGCGTGTTGTGTACCTTTTTTCATTTACAGTTTAGGTTGTCTTAATGGGCTTCACATTATTGGTCTTGGTTGATGATGTTAATACAAGAAATTGATAAGTGGGTTTAATAATGTATAAAACATTTGTATAGTGTTGGTTGAAAAGTATATCCATGAGAGCTCAAAAAGCATCTTAAAAAGATGTATTAATCCGTGTTTCATATGGCCCAAACGAGTATCTATTTACGACTTGCACATTCCCAAAATGTGGGACTCTTGGGTGCCTAATTATTGCTGACATTGACAGCAATGGTTTTGCAGAATATAAATATTTCAAGTTTAATTATATTACTATATATAATTATATAAATAAATATTAGGGACAACCGCTCTTACGTGTTGTCCTGTTGTTAATAAAGAATTTTCTTAGTGATGTGCTTTCAACTTTCATATTTGCTATCTCAAGGCTTACACATCATAGTGGGTTGAAAGTCTAGGTTCAAACATGGGTGATTGGTCCGCAAATGAGATTTTAAATATTTTATATAAAAAAATGCTCCAAAAACAAAAGGTCCAGTGTTAACTTTGTTTATCATTACTCATTCAGGTATTTTTATATGTCATTCGTGTATTTTAATCATTTTTAATTATCGTAAAAATTGTTTTTCTTGGTTTACATCAATAAATTAAACAGTTCGTTCTTTAGCAAAAATATTCTCCGTGCATTGCACTTGTGTAGGACTTTTTTTATTTTATTGAAATGAGGTAAATTATAATAAATTATGATACAGTTTCTTCTGTTTCAGCAGCATTTGCTAATCAATCCTCTCCACAGAGAGCCTCTACAGGTGACGTTTTTTTCAAAATGTATTATTACCCCCTCCGTATCTATTTACTTATCTCGCTTTCCCTTTCGGGATGTATAAAAAAAAATGTCCCATTTCTCTTTTTAGACATGGACCCCACCACCTTTTAACCTCCCATCATTAAATATTTACATGTTCCATTTTTCTTTTCACTTACCCCATTATTCCTCCCCATTAAATCTCCATCCCACCCACATATTTTAATCATCTACAGTGTTTTTTACTTCATCTACAGTACACCTATATATCTTCTTAAGCTACTCAAAAAATCTAATGGGTCATCTAAATAGATACGGAGGGAGTATTATTTAAAGCACAGGCAGAAGAAAAACTTTACATGTACCTTTTTTATTTTATCTTTATTAGAGGTTATTCAATTATCAACTGATGAGCATGCAAGTATGAGGGGGATGTACAAGTCACAATTGCAAGACCTATGCCGTAAGCACGGGTGGAAACCGCCAGAGTACAAGTCAGTGAAAGAAGGACCGGACCACATGCCTAGATTTACTGCTACAGTGGTAGTCAATGGAGCTTCCTACACAACTCCACACAACCACAGCCGTTCATCCAAAGAAGCAACAAAACTCGCTGCCTTTGTTGCTGTAAAACAATTAACTTGCCTCAAGCCAATTGCCTCCCAGGAAGGCATCGTTGTTCCATCAAATGCAGGTTATATTTTATTAATTATTATTATTTTCCATAATAAACATTGTAATGGAGGGAAGCGGGGACGGAAGGAATATGTAAATGGTTCACAAAAATGTGAATATGTGATGATCTATTGTAATATATCTGTATCTTTTTAGTCCTAAAACAACTGGGTGCACAAGTTTGTCTACTGTACAGTCTTCATAAAGATTCTCCAGAATAGTCATTGTTGAATATTTTCAAGAAGTATGTGCATCATTTGCGATAGTTGTTTACAGTCTCATTTGATTCTGCAGATCATACTGATGTCAAGGTGTGTCAGAACACTGAAATGAATGCACCAACATATGATTCCGGCTCAGCAGAATTGGCTGACAGAAAGCTTCCCAAATGTTCAGGTTTGCTTCCCCATAGTGGGTTTCAGGAGTATTTTTTTGAGTGACTCACTATGAATAGCATGTGCACACATTTTAGCTTGCATTTAGGTTATTAAATAGTGATGCATTTATCTAAAATATTCTATTTATCATATTCATACACCAAACAATCTCTTCTATTTTCTAACATAGGTGCATCTTGTTTTAGTTTTGTAACCTTTGTTAGGTAACTCTTAGTACTTATGCTTTTGTGAAAGTAGGGCTAGGAGGGTTCCTCGGATTTAATTATATTTCTGCCAGTGCATTGCATCAATTGCAATGTCTATTGCCTTAAGTCAATAGTATCTTGTTTACTTGACCTATGAGACACATATCCTTTGGCTAATAAGTGACAAGAAAGTGGCTCTTCCAAGAGATAGAGTAATAAACATGTCTAAACTCTAATTATGCCTATATTTATGTATGGAGACATCACATGATAATTGATTAGTACAGGAACAAATGATAAGATAATGATAGGTAAGCACCTATTCACAGAGTTCTGCGAGCTAGATATGAAGGAAACAGATCTACGTAACAATGGAAAGCTTCATATAACAGAATACAGAGAGAAAAAATACAAAGGCAGTTAAAGAGTGCCAACTTTCCAAGTCCCAAGTCCCAAGCCAATAGGATAATCCCAGCCTGCCTCCTACTCAGCAAGAACTATTATTTATAGTAATCCTCCCGGGGCCTCTTTTCATAACAAATAGCTATTTAATATTTCCTTTCCCCCTTCTAGTGTACACTTCATCAAAGTAAGTAATATTATTATTATTATTATTATTATTATTATTATTATTATTACTACTACTATCCTGCTGCCTTCCTTGGTCTCTATTAGATATTAAGGCTGGTAGAACGTAAAATCAAGTTACCATATGCTTGTATTGAGATAACCAATGCTTGAAGTCTTGAACACAGTTTCTGTGAAAGCTTTTTACAAATAACACAATTAAAGTCTAAAGGGGTGCAAACAGTTTTTGTGTTCTTCCTTTTTCTAATGTAAAATATTTTCCCATGCTTCAAACATGCAATATAAGAAAGCAGAAAAGTTCCAGATTCTCGAGTTTTTAAAAAAATAGACTCATTGTTTCTCATTTGCTTTCTTAGCTGTGCAACCAATTTACAAGAACTGGCTACAGCAGTATGCCCAGAAGCAGGGGATCACCCTTCCTGAATATTGTTGTGAAGCTCAAGGACCACCACATGATCGTCACTTTAAACCAAAAGTGGCTTTTGCTGAAAAAGTCTATGAAAGTCAACAATTTTTCCGCACATTGAAAGAAGCTGAACAAGCAGCAGCAAAAATTGTTATTGAGGCATTATCACCTCATGAAATTCAAAAGGTTAGTCTACTGAATTTAATTGCATTTAATTTGTATGTGTCTGATTATATGATCTGCCTTAGCTATTGTTTCCATATCATCTTTATTATAAAGTATTATACTCACTCCAATTTCAAATGAATCTCAGGGTGGAGGTTTATACAAGAACCTCCTACAAGAAGCTGTACAAAAACTTGGGTTCCTCTCTCCAATGTACAAAACAATCCAAGGTGGCCCACCTCACAATGCTTCTTTTGTCACCACGGTTCAAGTCGGTGATGAAACGTACGAAGGACAAACAGCCAAAAGCAAGAAGCTGGCTGAGATGAATGCAGCCGAGATTGCTTATAATACTTTGATAAACCGTAAGATTCATTTCCATTTCAATTTGCTAGTCGCATTCCCTACAGACTGAGAGGTAGTTGCCCTTGCTTCCTAGACTAAAGGTCTTCTGTCAAACATACAACACTAACGGCCAAATGAAAAAAATCCGAAATACAAATGTATCCGTCAGTAACTACACTGAAGTTGTCTGTCATGCACATACATATATACCATTGTCCCTCAGCCAATGCACTCATAATTTTTCTTTCTATCCATAGGTGTGGATACCTTTACGAAGAGGCAGAAACAATCAACCTCACCTGGCACAAATATTCCGCACTCGCCAACTACTCATGGTTTATCTTTATGTCAATAGGTACAGTTGTCCATTTGAAGACGCAGAAAACATCGGCTACACCTGGCATGCACACACCTATCTGTCCTCCACCTAGTAATATATACGTTGGTCCAATCCTGTTCGAGTCTTCTGCTTTACAACATGATCTTATTAGGAATTCGTCAGATAAGGTTTTGGCTTCATGGTGTCATTCAAACGGTACCGCAGTTTCTAGCCATGCTTCTGTTTTGCCTTATTCTGTCCAGATTTTACCTGATAACCAATCCTTCACCCCATTGGAACTCCCATGTTTGAATAGTTCAATGGAGGAGAAGTTTAGCCTAGATAGACCAAGTGCTGCAAGGAACATGATTTTGGTTTACCCACGTGGTTCAGAAGTGGTACTCCCTCATCATGCTTCAATCTTATCCTGCTGCGATGACAAATGGGTGGCTGTTGAAGTAGTTCAGAGTTCTAATTAAGGTCATACATTTGTGTTTCAAGTTTATGTAGAAAAACGGTATCCGGCACTGCGGTTGAATTCTTTGTGTTCTTGTTTTGGATGCTTACTGATACTATGTGCATGCTTTGGATGTTCACAGATTAGTGTCATGGTTTGGATATTTTACTCATTGTTTAATTTTGGTTTTCTTTTGTTTTCTACATTTATTTCCTAAAATAAATGTAGAAAACCCCTAGTGCAAACTGGGTCTGGTTCGGGTTCCACACACACACACACATTGTATAATACATGCATTTTAACAAAACAATATATTTTGTACAAAATATTACAATAGTGTGATATAATAATAATGCATACAAAACAAAAGAATTAAAACTGGACCAGCACTAATCTGGACATCTGGTTACTAGAATTGGACCCACTACCCATTGGGCGCCGTTGCTTTGGTTCTACGCTTCCAGTGGCGGGGGTTGGGAATTGACCAAGTGGAATTGGAACCGGTTTGAGTCGTGGAAATGGTAGAACCAAAACCGCAATGAGGCATACCAGGTAGGGGTGGACCGGTTCCGGTTCAGGCCTGGCTGGGCCTCGGACCTCGGTTCATGAAGGGGAGGGCCGGGCCTCGGTTCTAATTTTTTTTTGGCTTTTCCTAGTTAACCTCCAACCCTCCCCCTCACCCCCAAACCAACCCTAACCACCTCAAATGGCCCAAAATACCAAGCCCAACCCAAAAACTTAAAAAAATTCAAAAAAAAAATAATAATAATAAATTGGCCCGGTCCGGGCCCGAACCGGCCGGGCCGGTTCACCTTTTGAAGGGTCCGAGCTTGAACCGCCATCCCACCGGGCCGGGTGGCCCGAACCGGGCAACCAACCGGTTCACCGGGCCGGTCCAGGCCCGCACAGTAGCGGTCCGGTCCGGTTCCGGGCTGGTTGGCCCGGCCCGAGTCCACTCCTAATACCAGGTCACATCCAGGTCACGGGAGCATAAACATTAACCAGGGAAGTTCGGGTTGGTTCTACGGTAAGTTTTTATTGGTTTTAGCTGATTAAAAATCAGCTGTAGGAGCCCCGCTTTTAAATTTTAATGGTTGCTATTTGTTGGCCAAAAGGAAGTCAACATCAGAACTCATCTGGCACTTATTTAGTAAATGATGCAATTAAGCATCTCTCTTGAAGTTTCATCTTAAAATGTAAACTATATTAGAAAAAATAGATCAAAATCTTATATACTCGTATTAAGATGAAACTTCAAGTTCTAATATCCCTCAAATTCTATGAAACCGGTATATACTCGCTGTCCGGCTTCACCGAGGACTCTATCGACGCCGAAGGCACGATGGTCCTCCCAGTGGAGGTCGACGTTCATCGTGTCAAGTTCGACATGGAGTTTATGGTGGTCAACCTCGAATGCCCCTACAATTTGATTTGGGGTCGGCCAGCGTTGGAGGATCTGGAAGCCATCATCTCCATGAAGCATCTCTGCTTGAAATTCCTTACCAACAACGGCATCAGCTATGCCAGGGGGAACCAGAGGATAGCTAGAGCATGCTACCTCAAGCTGACGAAGAATGTCACCATCACCGAGCAGAGGGTGGACACCATCACCGTCGCCAAGGATGAGGAAAGACCACACACAGAGCCGGTCGAGGACGTCGAGGAAGTCCCCTTGGACGCCTCCCAGCCAGAGCGAGTCCTGAAGATAGGGAGACAACTCCCCCAGGACCAATGCGACGCCATCCTCCTCGTCGTGTGGTCCTACGCCATCATCTTTGCGTGGGGGTCGGAGGACGTGCCGGGAATCAGCCACAAGGTTATCACTCATCGACTCTCACTCGACCTGGCCTCCACGCTGGTCAAGCAAAAGCGGCGCTATCTCTCGGCCGAACGACGGGACTTTGTCAAAGGGGAAGTTACTATGCTCCTCTCCATTAGCCACATCAAAGAGGTGGAGTACCCAACTTGGCTGGCCAACGTCGTCCTCGCCCAAAAGCCATCGACATTCAGAATGTGCGTCGATTACACTGATCTGAACAAGGCGTGCCCTACAGACCCGTTCCCTCTCCCATATATTGATCAATTGGTGGACAAGACGGCGGGATGCGAGTTAATGTCGTTCCTTGACGCCTTCAGAGGATACCACCAGATCTTCATGCACAAGGATGACGTCGAGAAGACAACTTTCATGACCCCGGAGGGAATTTTCTGCTACCTCGTCATGGCCTTTGGGCTAAAAAACTCCGATGCCAGTACACAAGGATGGTGGCCAAAGTTTTCAGAGCCGTCCTCGGCCGAACGATGGAGGCGTACGTGTACGACATGATCGTCAAGAGCAAACAATCAACCACCCATGCTGACGATCTCCAAGAGATGTTCGAAATAATGAAGAAGTTCAAGCTTCACTTGAACTAAAAGAAGTGCACCTTCGACGTCCAGGCCGCCAAGTTCCTTGGATATATGGTCAGCCGAAGGGGTATTGAAATAAACCCGGAGAAGATCACGGCCATTAATAATATAGAGCCACCGCGCAATGTCAAGGAGGTCCAACGACTGACGGGATGCCTTGCCGCTCTAAACCGTTTCCTCTCCAAATCGACCGAGAGATCACTCCCCATCTTCCAAATCATGCGCAAGGCCAACAACTTCAAATGGATGACGGAGTGCCAACAAACCTTCGAGGAACTGAAGCAGTACCTAACCTCCCCTCCCGTCCTCTCCAAGCCCAAGCCCAGCGAGACACTCTTCTTATACTTGGGGGTGAGCACGTCGGCCATCAGCTCTGTGCTCATCCGCGAGGATGAAGGGGTACAAAGGCCACCTTTTACGTCAACAAGACATTAAGGGAAGTGGAACTCAAATACTCCCCCATCGAGAAGACGGTGCTAGCCATCGTCCATATAGTGAGAAAACTGGGGCACTACTTTTAGGCACACGACGTCCATGTCCTCACGCAGCAGCCCCTCGGCGCACTCATGCGGAGCCCAACTAGCTCTTCACGGATGGTGAAATGGGCGATCTTCCTCAGCCAGTATCAGATTGAGATCATGCCAAGGACATCCATCAAGGCATTTGAAACTCATGAGATCACCCAGATCCCAAGGGCGGAGAATGCCGAAGCCCACATACTCTCCAAACTCAGCACAGATGCTCCGAAGCACATCTCCAAGATAGCCAAGATCGAGGAGCTCAACATGTCCAACATCCATGCCAGCCCGATCTTGTGCATTCAATAATGTCCGAAGGACTGGATCTCCGACATCAAGACCTTCATTACCACGGGAGAGCTACCCCAGGACGAGGAGAGAGCCAAGCTAGCCAAACTCAGGGCCTCAAGCTACACCATTGAGAATGGAAAGCTGTACAAGAGATCATACAATAGCACTCACCTCCGATGCTTGCACCCGGACGAAGCCGAAGTGGCCATGGAAGAAGTCCACTACGGAGTTTGCTCATCACACCAAGGCCCTTTCAGCATGTCCCGCCGTCTAGTCATCCAAGGCTATTTCTGGCCGATGATGGCACAGGATTGTGCTAACCTTGCAAGGAAGTGCACTGCATGCCAAGTACTACAGAAGGCCCCCGGTCGGCCAGCCGTCAACTACTCCCCGGTCAGCACCGCAATCCCATTCTCAAGGTGGGGAATTGACCTGGTCGCCCCCCTCCCAAGGGACGTTGGCAACAATCGGTACATCATCATCGCTATCGACTACTTCACCAAGTGAGTCGAGGCGGAGCCGTTGACAAGCACCACTGAGGCCCGATGCCGGAAGTTTGTCCTTAAAAACATCCTCACCCGCTTCAGCATCCCCTAAGAAATTGTCTCTAACAACGACACACAGTTTGAGGCAGAGCCATTCCAGGAACTCCTCCGAGCATGGGGAATCAAACACCGTTTCTCCTCCGTCGCCTACCCTCAAGGCAACGGGCAGGTTGAGAACGCCAACCGAACCATCTTGCAGGGCCTGAAGAAGAAGCTCGAGGACGAAGGAGGCAACTGGGTCGACGAGCTCCACAACATCCTGTTGTTCTACCGTACTACGCCGAGGAGGGCCACAGGCGAAACACCTTTCGCCCTATGCTATGATTTTAAAGAAAAAGCACCAACGGAGGTGACCATATCCAGCCGACGGGTTGAGCAATATGAACCCAGAGCCAATGAGGAGAACATGAAGATTGACCTCCACCTGGCCGATGAAAGACGTGAGCAAGCTTATATCCGGGCAGAGAACTACCGTCGTCAAGTGAAATCATACTATGACGCCAAGGTACGTTCCCGAGAGTTCCAGGTGGGGCACTACGTCCTCCGCTGAAGGGAAGCAAGCAAGCCGACAGAAGGAGGCAAGCTAGCCCTGAGGAATGAAGGACCCTACGTCATCAATGCCATGATCAAAGCCGGCACCTACAAACTTAAACACCATAATGGGTCGGAAGTGCCACGATTGTGGAATATACATCACTTGTTGAAGTTCTATCAATAACCCGAAGCTGGTGTAGCCGGCGAAGCCCTTACCCCTTGACGAGTTATTGATCGATTACCACCCTCGGCATCGAGCCACTTACTAATAAAAGTTGTGTTCCGCTAATAAAGGATGCCACACAACAAAAAAACATCGTATCGGCCCCCTCGAGGTGAAATGCCCAGGTATGCCCGATGATGCCTAGGATGAAGGGCCCGCAAAATGGCCCACGTCTGGAAACAAGAAGATCACCGCGTCGTCCTCGCACTAAATCGTAGGGCGGTAAGCCTGAAAGAAGACCGAGGTGACAAAATCTCCATAGTTGGGGTTGGGAAACGACAGCCGTCGGAAACTGTCCAAAAGTCTAGCCCCGCATAGTAAATAGACGAGGGGACCCCCCAAGATCAGGGAAAATCCTACAAGCGAGGGTGATAAACCCATACTGGACTCCCTATCGGCTGAGGGAATAGCAACACCCTCGGTCGAGCCTGAAAGAAGGACCCCGAGTTTGAAAGAAGGACCCCCACTCCTCGCTCAAAGGAGTAAAGAGGAAGAAATAAAAGAGGGATAACCGAAGGACCGTACACTCGCCGGCCTCAAGCAAATTCCCCACAAATAAAAGAGGTACATCCAAAGGACCGTGCATTCGCCGGCCTCGAGTGAAATCCCCACAAATCAAGCTACATATTTGGCTAAGTACATATCAGGCAAATACTATGC